TCTTGAGTCTTAATGTAATTCAGAAATACTCCGAAAATATATGTTAATACTTTAAGACACTCATATTGCTCTTATAATACTCTACCCTAGATCATTCACAGTTATTATTATTGACAAGTGAACAGAAATTACCTAAGACGAAGTAAATAAAACATAGTATTAAAAATAATTTATTACACCAATAGAATAGATCATAATTACCTCCACTAACATAATCAAATGTATTACACAATATAATAGAAACCACGAATATAATAATATTATAACAACTAAAACGAACCATGATTGAGATCGTTTTTAAAAGTTAAGTTATACAATATACAACTGATGTAATCAAGCAAATAATGAAATACTGTTTCAAACGTTCTTTTCTTATATTTCCATTACATAGAAGGTATCTATGTCTATAAAATGATATTCCTACAACAGAATATTACAACTATTTACAACAGAATATTATAGTTCTCAACGCAATAAATTCACAAAAATATTTATTGAACAGAACTACAAAATAACAATAATAATAACACATTTTTTAAAAATTGTTTACAACATAGTAACATTACTTAGACCAACAATTATTTGTAATAATATTTTACGAAATGATTCAGCTGTGTAAACAATAAATATACAACTACACAATATTGATTATGTCCATGGTTTAAATGATTTAAACCAATAGGTACCTAGGTACATTATACCTATACACATAATGCATAACTATGACATGTGTTAAACCTACATGCCGCAGCCCTCAGCCCACAATACAAACATAGAAAAATACTAAGTAAAATATTACATCTACCGTCTCCCCTCCCCCACAAATTAAACCCTGGATCCGCCACTGACAGGTACAGCTGACTACAGCCCCATTTTGCTCGAGAAATAATGAACAAAATATAATATAAAATACGACACTCATTAGTTCACGGGCAAGTCCGTGTTGGTGTATTTACCCGAGGTCTATCTACATTCTACCTCGCTCTGTGAACAAATTCAATCGTGATGGGCAACCGGCCAGCGAGGCGTGGGATGCGGTGGATTGGATACGGTCATATTATAATATTATATACTATATTATAGTGTTTAGTGTAATTTGATTTAAGACGCAAAGTATAATAACTTCATATGAAAATTGGTCTAGGTCATTGGTACATTTATCTGTGAAAGTTAATAACAAAATATATAAATAACAGACTTTTAACACGGTGTATGATGTAGGTTTAACTGTATAAGTGGTTCTGTCTTCTGTAGACTGTAGAAAATTGTTGAAAAAAAGACGCTGTAAAAACATGACAGATGGCGCCACGTATTCCTATGTTTTGTTATATTTTCGTCTTTCAATAATCCGTTGAGGGGAACCCCTTTCTATGCTTGTAACCTGCTCCATCCCTACGTAGTGTGCTCTATGAATTAAAAAAAAACCTTCGGCGATTAGATATTTGGATAAGACGTGCGTTAAGGGAATTAACTGCGAGTGTCACCACCCAATTAGCAATTACCCAAACAAAGAGAAATAAGTACCTTTTTTATTCTTCCATGTAACCAATGGCAACCAGAAATTAACAATACAATATTTTTGTATTTTAAACTCAAAATCTTATAGTGGTTGAATTTCAGGATAATAACTAATAAGAAGGATTATAAACAAGGCTGGGAGTTAACGAGTTAAAAAATTAAAGTTAATTTTATTTTAACTTTTTAACTTAATTAGTTACTTTTGGATTTTCATTAACTTGACTGTTAACTTACTAAATTTCTTAATTCTTTTATAATTTATTAACATGATATTAAAAACTTCATTTTTCATTTTAAGAAGTAACTAAGTTAAGTTAATTTATTTGGTTTTTAATTTTATTACATTTCACTATTTCAGTCTATTTCGTTTTCATGTCAAAAAATATTTACCTTGAATTGTTTAAACTTAAACAATTTATATTATTCCAATCTAACTTATATGAAAAAACTGTATAAAGTATAAACACTAATCACTATATTATAGTTTATAATTTAGTTTGGGGTAGGAAAAAAATTAAGTACACGAGCGTTGTATACAAGCCCTTTTCAACTTTAGCTTCAAAATAATTGTCTCACTACACTGCCCTTAATATTGTTTATATATTAATATAATAAAATATATATATTTTTTTACGATGGATTCTTTAGTAGATTCAATAGCTTTGATAAGTTTACAATTTTACACACTACCTACAAAAAAAATATTACAACTCACACAAAGCTGGCTGCTGCTGCTTGTTCTGTCATCATCTGTTGTCTGTCGTCCTGCGCCAGCGGTGGCTACGTAAGTTCTTTACCCTCAGAGTCGTTGAAAGGTGATCAACAGACTTAGGGGACTTATAGTTCTAAAAAATACACAAATTTGCATGCAAATATGCTTCTAAAATCATTATAATATGCATTTATATGCATTAAAAAAAAAATTGGTTAATTTCACTTTTAACTTTAAAAAGTCATTAGTTAAAATGTATATCTAATAATTAATAAATAATAAACAATAACTAAGAATTATTAATCAAAGATACAACTTTTATTATTGAATATGTAACAACTAAATTTGAAAAAATAAATATTTACCTTTGAATTTTGAAAAATTAAACCGAGAATTAAATATTTATAATTAAATTTTTTTTTTAATAATAATAATTAATAATCAATAAATAATAATTATACAAAAAAATATTATAATCTACATATTATTCTATATCGACTATTATCTTTATCGACATCCGTGCGATATCCAGTGGGTTATACGGTCGATATGAGTTTATAGTATTTTTTATACTCACACAAAAATTATAACGATATATGAGAGGTAGTTTACAGATAGCATATTTCTGGAAGTATTAATATATTTTTTTTTACCATGGGTTGAAATATCTATATATTATAGTTATATGTATCTATAGTTTTTAATTTGAAATTTGAAAAATTTGTCAAAATATGCAAAATAAGCATAACAATTTTAAAATATGCACTTTCCAGCAAAATCTATCAAATATGCAAAAATATACACATTCAAATTTTAGATTTAATATCATGGCACGATCATCACATTGATTGATCTTTGTTTCTATGATAATATTTTCACAATCTTTTGGAAAATATCCCAACTTTAGAAAAAGCTGTGCATGCCTAAGATTTCACCTAATCACCTTAGATTTTAGAATCTATAGCTATAGACTTTTATAAATAGAAATACTAAAAGTATTACTTATTATAATAAATAATAGTTATTAGTTAATAATCACGAAGTCACGAAGATATCACGCGTATGTGTCATGAACTCATGACTCATGACGAACAAGTCGTAATTAATACGTATTGGAATACGTATTCATATTTAATGCTACCTATCTTAATTCTTAAGTGTGTTATAAATGTACCTATATATAGAACGGGTAGGCAGATAATTGGTAATGTTCCTATTGTTACTTAATTTATTTTCGTATTTATAAATTCCTCAAGAGAACATCTTGAAAAACATCTTCATAATACATTAGTACTATAATATCGTTATATGTATAAAAAATAATAACAATATATGAATAGGCAGATACTAAATTTGAGAAGGCACTATACCTACCTGTACTTATAGTCTATAACGATTGATTAAATATATATAAATATATATATCAATATGATATAACTTAGAAGTACCACTGATTAAATATATTTAATCAATGGAAGTACCTACTTATTAGTTATTCATTATTATTGATTTATATATGCTATAGTACGAATCGTATGCTTATAGGTGGAAATCTAGTAATATTATCTTAACAAACAATAAACTACCAAAAAAACAATACAAAAATGTTCTAGATTGCATGAAACTATGAACAGTTATTAAAATATATCATTGTAAGTATGAATATCGTATACAACGCTACAAAATTAATTAGTTTTAGATTCAGAGCGTAGGGAATGAATGTATTATATTTACAATGTTACAATGATGTGTTTTTTTTCTTTCAGTCATCAACTTTTAGGGTATTAAAAAGGGATACATGTCAATTGATCGAAAACAGTTGATCTCACGAGAATTGCTCGAAAACTTTTGATCGAAAAACAATTGCTCGCAAACGACAATTGATCGAAGAATTGTTCGCAAAAAACAAATTGGTTGCGCGATCACCCAACTAAGTAATAACCACGGACTAAGATAAAGATTTATCTTAGTCCGTGGTAATAACTAATAATATATAATCATACACCCTTTTAATAATAGACCAGCCCACTTCATATTTCCAACGAGTCACATCGATAACGTCGACGTGGTGAACTTTGTACTTAGATATAAAGATAATATCGAATAGTAATTTTATAGTAATCTTATATTATGGACTATGGTGCATGACAAATCCGAGATTAATATTGTTTCAGTATTATAGTGTACCTAATTCAAATACGTTTGACTCGTTTTGAACTTATTTTACCATCATGAGTTTAGTGTATGTAAACAGTGAAAAAAATAAAAGAATGTTAGAATACAAAGGATTTTTACATACACAAGAAAAAATGTATAATGGAAAAGTGTATTGGAAATGCTCCGAAAGTAAAAAACTGAAATGCAAAGGTCGAGTTCATGTTGTTAACGAAAATATCGTGAAGTTCATCAACATAATAATCATGTACCAAATGCATCAAAAATTGAGGTTAAGAAGGCTATATTACATTTAAAGGAGATTTCATCCCAATCTACACTTAGTACTCATGCTGTTATTGGAGAAATGTCATCGCAGGTATTATAAAATATTATATTTTATACCTAATATAAATATAAAACAATAATTTTAAATTAATTAAAAATGTTTTTTTTATAATTAGTTACCAAGTGCTCTAGCTCTGTGATGGAACATTTTCGGTAGCTCCACCAATTTTTACCCAATTATACACAATCCATGGTATATGTTATTCAAATGTGGTTCCCAGTGTTTATGTATTGCTACCTGCTAAAAAATGAAGATACCTATCGTTGAATGTTTGATGCTTTAAAGTCATTAAAACCAAATTTAAATCCCAAAACTATTATGATTGATTATGAAAAAGCTGCTATCAATGCAATTAAAACAGAATTTCCTAGTACTAAAGTAAATGGGTGTTTTTTTCATTTGTCCCAGTGTATGTGGCGCCATGTTCAGGAATTTGGCTTGCAAAAAAAATACAGTGAAGACCCTAAATTTGTATTGCAATTAAGAATGTTACCAGCTTTAGCATTTGTACCTAAGGATGATGTAATAACTAATAAGTTCATATAGTGTTTTAATTGAAAGTAATTATTATACAGAAAATGAAGAAATATTAGAACAATTTTTAGATTATTTCAAAAATACCTGGTTAGGCAAATTAGACAGACAAAGAAGACGAAAACAACCAAAAATTGAAATTGAAATGTGGAATTGTTTTTTTAAGAATAGAACAATATATAGCAACAAAAAATAATTCCGTTGAAAGTTGGCATAACTGTTTTACGTCAATCGTAAGTGCAAAACATCCATCAATATGGCGTTTTATTGAAGCGTTAAAGAAGGAAGAAAGCATAAATCGACTCAAAATTGAGCAGTATATATCTGGCATAGAACCTCAGAAAAAAAAATACCAAGATTGGGTTAAGAGAATCAAAAAAATTTCACTGATTATAATGATCTATTCATTCTAGATTATCTACGCGGAATAGCCTATAATTTTCAACTGCAAATTTAATTATTAATTTTACGTTTTTCTTAGCAATTTTAATAGTATATAATTATAAATTTAGCAATTTTATTTGACCTTTTTTTTAAAAATATAAGATATCAATAAAATAATAATATAATTTTTAGTTTTGAGAGCAATTATTTCTCTTCTATCAATTGTCGTTTGCGAGCAATTGTTTTTCGATCAAAAGTTTTCGAGGAATTGTCATGCGATCAACTGTTTTCGATCTATTGACGGGATACCAGTAAAAAGACTCCGATTTTCGACATCAACTCACATCATTTCGGATAGAAAAGTGCAAAATTAATAACTCAAAAACTAATAACCGTAGATAATTGAAATATTTATATTGTTATCATTTTCCATATTATAATTGGTAATGCTCTATTTGAGATATTTATAGCCTTGAGACATTTTTTTAATTTTGTGATTTTTTTAAAATTAAACCTTTTCAACCTAGTAAAAAAGCTTGAAAACTTAACACAAGGGTCCTCAGTCCTCAGTCCTCAAAAAATGTTTTAATAGCAGTGCAACAACATGAAAGGTACATACCTACCTATAGTCACGATTATTTTTTATATGCATTTAAAATTCAAATTTTGACAAAATTCATCAAAACCCTAGGAAAATGCCTACATTAATATTTTTAATGAGCGTTTGAATTTCAATTTTTTACGATATTTGATATTCAGAGGTAACGAATTCCTATTAATCGATTTTTAATATTTTATTTTATTGTATAGGTAATACTTACAAGATACTTTTCTACATAATATACAACGTGCCCAGGGGTGAAGTGACCGGCCGACGTCATATGAAAGTATACCCAAAATGATGAAGAAATACCCTTTAAAGAGTGGGTCTAACTTTTTTATTTTTTAAGTTATGGGCAGTTAACTTTTTTTTATCAAAACCAAACCTATCACACATTTTCTTATGTATCTTCGAAACTAATCAACATTTTGACGTAATTTTTTTTTATCTTAAAGCTATTTAAGTGTTCTATCAACCAAAGTACGCAATTAAACCAGAAATGTACAAATTATTTTTATTAATTTGAAAAAGTAATTATTTTTATCAAAAATTAATATTTTTAGAAGTAAGTCGAGTATAACTCCAAAAAATGTAGTATTTACCATGGGTATTTTGCTTATTGTATTATTGTACTGAATAATACCTAGAATAAAAGTTTGGTTTTAGTATCTTCCATGATTGCTGAATTATACGCTGTCGTTACAATCTTGATTTTCTTAGAATCGAGTAGAGGTCGTCAATTGATCGTTAATCGTTTAATTTTATTTTCTTCGGTACATTTTTGTTGTAGGGTTGTCATTTTACAGAATAATACAATAAGGAAAAAACCGACAAAAAAAAAAGTTAGACCCACTCTTTAAAGGGTATTTCATCATTATTTTGGGTATACTTTCATATGACGTTGGCCGGTCACTTCACCCCGGGACACATTGTATATATCTTGGACAATATATTTATAAAGGAAAGTAATATTATACAATTATTTTAGATTCTGAGTGGAGAAATGTATTTATTTTACAGTGATGTGATTTTTTTTGTCTGTCATCGCCGTTTGGTCGATAAAAATCCTACTATTTTTTCTTTTAGTATTTTTTCTGGTAGGAAAATCTAGTACCTAGTCAATCTATTGGTACATTTTGATGTCAAATTTTTCAAAATTACATTGGTATAAGTACTTACATTCGCAAATTATTTTCTAATAAAATACTTATAAAATGTACAGTTTGTATAGCTATAAATTATAATGCTTGAAAATTGAATACAAGTAGGTATTCAATATTATATAATATATATCAAATGACAAATACCAGCTTTTAAATTTTAATGTCTATAAATAGTTTCAAAATATTTTGGAAATATTATGTAAAGAAAATTATAAAACAAACAATTTGTGAAAATTTCAAATATCTACCTACTGTTACTCGTTTTTGAATTACATCAAAATAAGAAAATATTGTTTGATGAGAAATTATTAAGTCACGAATCTGCAATATTTTATTCATTATTAATAATAAAAAAGGTGGGGAAGTAGGGGTCGCTCTGCTGTACAGTAGGTTACAAGTGGGTCACTATATAATGGATGATATTAAATTTGAATTCAACGATATAATATCATTGTATAAGAAAAACGATTCTGAGCGGAGGCGGTATGTCAGTCTAGGTATAAGACATATTATATACATATCAATGGTATTAAACAAAGAATTTACCTATAATAGGTACCTATAATAAATTCCAAATTAATCATATCACAATATTCATTAGGTACTTATAACGCGTTATACATCAACAAAAACCGTGATACTATCATAGATATATAATAGTACACTTTAGAAGTTTCAAGTACCCACGAATAATATTATTCAATCACAACAAAATAACTAAAATAGTTGTTCTAGGTTTTTTAATATGTAATTTCGTCCAAATTTAAATTTAAAATGTCTGTAAAAAATAACTGTGTTCAAATATTTTTATTTTTTAGATTTTTTGGTTACAGTATGAACTATTTATGAGAACCTTTGTTTTAAATTTGCAATCCTTAGCTATAAAAACTGAACATTTTATCATTTATTAATTACAATGATTGATAATTTTCGAGATTTTGATACATTTTGTCAAAATTCAATCTTTAAATGCTTATAAAGAAAAACTAAGCCTATGTATTTTTAATATTTTTCAACTGCTATTGTAACAATATATCAGGAGCCTCGTATTAAATTTTTACACTTTTTGGCCCAACAGATAAAACTATCCCCAAAGTACCAACTAGATTCACTTTCATATCAGAAAAGCTACTGTTGAAGAAAATCCAAGCACTTTTACTGTCCTAAAACGTGATGACAGACACAAAAAAAAATTTAAAAAAACACACATCATTGTAAATCAATACATTCATCGTTTCACTCAGAATCTAAAATGTCAATCGATTTACTCTAGGTTCTAAAATATTTCTAATAGTTATTGAAATTGACTCGTCAGCGCGCAGTACGCAGCAATTATTGTTCGTGTTCTACATCTATAACGAACCGACGAGAGGTAATCACGAAGTTAATGACGTATACGGTATACATACAACATACACCATGTACAATTAATACTATTATCGTCGTATATTATTATTGTTGAATTTTTATTATTAGCGTCGCAAAATGAACGTGAGCCATTGTGCGTCTACATGCGTGTACACATCGAGGTCCGTCGTACAATACTACAAATTACAATATGTCAATATCAGTATATCACTACAGTCTACAATATAGTTATATTTATATATAATATAATATATAGATTATAGACATATAGACTTGTGTAATAATATTAAATACAAAATACTAAACACAACGATAAGTTGGTTAGCGATATTATGAGTTACATACTGACATGAGAATATAAGATGACGCGTAGGTACCTATTTAGGTACGTATAATATAATTATCATAAATACCTATAACGAGATAATATATGATGTCAATATGGTACCCCTACGATTTACGTTTATAAATATGCATATAGTATATTCATAAGCAAAATGTATTAAAATTTCACTGGGGCTAATATGTTTAACATACATGTACGGATTGGTGGGGAGGGGGGGGGCGTCATCAATTATCATCAAAAACTAATATAATTTTTTCTTTTTTTTATAAAATTATTAAACATTAAAAATATTATAATTTCTATGTATGTATAGTTATATAGGTACGTTTATATAATTATTTATACAATTAAATAAAGATTTATTTATTTGCATGTATTAGGTATAATTTAAATTTGTTGTTATATGTATAGACTATTAGCATGTATTAAAAAATCACAAACAACTTTCATAATTTCCCTTTGCTTTTCAGCCAATGTTTCAATAATGTCTGCATTATAAACACATTTTGACAACTGCTTTTCAATATTTTGGATAGTCGAATAGTCCGATACATAATTCAGATGTTGAAACGATTTAAAACAATTAAAACCATTGAAGTTCTGGTTCATTTTTTTATTTAGTTATACTATACTTGTATACTTTATAAGTTATATCAATATAAATATTAACTATTGTTCATCACTCAATAGCTAAATATATTATAGGTAATGAATTGTCAATAAAAAAAAACATTTGGGGGAAGGTGCTAATTTAAAATTTGCTAGCCTACATAATGCATGTAATGAATTATCCTAGGTAGTATAATATTATAAATTATAATATAGGTTACAGGTAAGATAAGCCGCAAGCGAGATAGTATGTAGATAGGTACCTATAACTTGTATAATATAGGTAAGAGGTATGCTATCGTAATATTATGCATATTTCATATTAATATATTATTAGGCATAAATACACAATATAGGTAGACTATATAGTTATAATATTAATATATACATTAGACACTATATGATATAGGTATACAATAGTAGTAAATAAAAAAAAATATAATAGTACCAATAGTACTATTATAGCGTGGTGCCTACGGCTCCGAAACAATGGCCAACGACGAAAAATCGTGCTTCCGTCTAATTAAACGACCCTGAAAAT